CCTGCTCTGTACATAAATAAAATTACCAAATTTGTACAGATATCTAATTTTTATAAGATCATCTTTTAATTGGTTCTACTGTAAGTAGAATTGTTAAGGTGGGAATGTGTGTGTTGGATAAGTCGAGATGTTTGTTTATGTGAAGAGAGGAGGATGCCGTCGGTGTGTTCCACGTCGGAAGCCTGCAAGCAGGCTCTCTTTGAACAGAGATCAAAGTGAGTTGCATCAGCGGTTGTGTCATTGATCCAGGTGAAATGATTAAAATGGATGCCCTTAGCCACAAATCAAGCCCCCAGATTAACAGTCTGTGGTATCCAAATATCATGATTTATTGTCTAATACTATTCTTGACTTCAGAATGTCTAAATTAGCTCGGTGGAAATTGGAACACTAAAAAAATGTGTTAATATACTGTACAGGCACTGAAACTCCACTCATGATGTTTTAATGTACTCCAATTTTAAGAATTAATGTCAAGTTTATTTTGCATAGATGTAATTAAAAAACACAAGGTCACAATAGGGTAATTTATTTGAGCTTCTAATAAAATATTCAGCAAGATTATGGTTATATTAGCCTTTACTGTTACTGTAGGAGTAGGTTGTCTTTTCTGTTATCTTAAGTTCAAGTTTCAAGTTCAGACGCTATAGCTGTACGCTGCAGGTAGCTGTGGGTAGCGGACCATCTACCTCTTTTGCTAAAAGTCTATTTGTCATTTAGTTCATTCAGAGCCACTAACTCCTGCAGTAGGTTAGAGCTGCTTGAACTTCTCAGTTTATTACAAACTCAATATACTTGAGACTTAATATACTTAAGACTTAATTCAGATTTTAACAAATCTTTTAGTTTTGGCCATGTTTTTAAAGGTTTTACCTTCAGTGACTAAAATCACTCTGTTATCTCCTTCTACAAATGTTTCCAGGCTTTACATCCATATATAGTGTGTCGTTACTGTCTGAATCTAGAAGGGGAGTTTTTTGTAAATGTATCAATATTTTTTCTGTAATTTCTTTCATACTCTAAAAACCAGTCCCCATCAAACCATATAGAACACAGCAGTGACGTGCGGTGAGGTTCATAGCTGGTGAGGCACTGACGTCATCAGAATCAGATTTGCAAATAGATGCATAGATTGACAGCAGTTTACAGGTTATGTTTCACTTCTGCATCCTTACACATACAAACTGTAGCTCACAAAACACACATTTCCTTAAAAAACAAAACAAAATAAACGTTATTACTGTCTTACCTTTACTTATAAATGAATAGAAGTCCTCCTTATCTTCCTTCAGTTTTAAAAGTCTCTCTGTCTCAATGGAGATCACTGCCAGGGAAGAAAGCCTTCCTTGATCCGTCCTGTTCCTGCCTTATGTTTTCAGTCTCTTGAGCACCCCCTGCCATGAGGCAAGAGAACTGCCTGCCTCACCTCGAACTTGTTCTCTGCCGTTTATAATCGCTCATTACACGAAACACGTTACACAAACACAGTTGGTGACAAAAAGCTCTGTACATTATATACATAAGCCAAATTATTAGAAATAAGTTCACATATTACATTTGTTTAAACCATTTTATTGACGCCGTACAGCAACATGCTCTCTCCGCTTTGCAGCCAGCGCAGAGCCAGGGGTTGCGCAATCCAAGGTGAGGCAGAGCTCGCTGCTGCCTCACCGGCATCGCTTCCAAGCATTTGAATGGGAAAATAAGAAAATTCAGCGATTTTGAACAAATAAAAATCGAAATTGGTGAAGCTACATGAAAAATGAATATTTTTTAGTACAAACCACCGGATGAATATAACAATTTAAATTACTTTATGATTATATATTTTCTTTCTTTCCATGATGGCTGGTGAGGCACTGCCTCACCTGCCTCCCCTGACCGCACGTCACTGGAACACAGCCAGTATAAGAAATAAAATGGTTTGTTGAGAACTTATTTATGTGACCTGTTCAACTTCAGTCAAGTATTGCAATATACTTTTGTTCAAGTCACTTATACTGTGACCTAAACCTGGAGTGGTAGTCTAACTGCATATCTGAGATTTAAATAATATGTTTTTAGTAGGGCTGAAACGTTCATATAAATTATAATCTATTATTTTAAATAATCGCCAACTAATTTAGTAAACAAATGATCGTTAAGAGTATAGAGACTCTACAAACATTTCTTTAGCTGAAAGAGCTACCCAATTAGAGCAGTGATTATACCAAAAATTGTGAAATAACATATAGACATTTTGCATTTAAGATGAAAAAAAAATATATACATTTTCGTTCGTTAATTCCATTAATATGCTCTATCCAGCACTCCTCAAGTGGAAAAGTCTTAGTATCACCTGGTTTAATTTCATAAAAAGTCTCCACTATGGGACCTTTGGCTTTCCAAAGCCAAAGGTTTGGCCTACCACTGTGGGAGTGGTGGCCACTTATCCCCCAGTGGTCGCTTACCACTGGGGGATAAGTGGCCTGGTGGTTAGGGCATTTTGCTTTGATCCTAGAGGGTACAAAGTTCAAGCCCGCTCCCACAGACTGCCACTCTGGCTTCCTGAGCAAGACTGTTAACCCCACACTGCTCCTCGTGCATCACACAATGGCAGCCAACTATTGTCCAAATGGACAATAGTTGCTTTGTACTTGTGACAGTGGAATGACAATAAAGTTGAATTCTTTTATTCTAATCGATTAATCGAAAAAAATTATCTAAAGATTAATCGATTTGCAAAGTAATCGTTAGTTGAAGGCCTAGTTATGACCAAGTCTGTCTGGTCAATGGGACTGGGCTGGGATTGGTGGTATGCAGATTTAACTGTTTCGACGACCAAATAGTACAGAGGACAAATTCGGTCCATTTCAATTCAAAAATGCTTTATTGTTCCAAAAGGGTAATGACATGTTGTAACTTTTATTGATTTTTTTTTTTTTTTTAACAAGTTCTTGGGTATAGTAATGACTGTAGACAGTAAGGATTTTCTGCAGCTGTCTGTCTTACAGCAGTATTTGACTGAAGATACTCTGTTGTTTGACAGTTGTATGAAAAGGATGCTCACTGTTGTTTATAATGTTTCTAGTTTTATGAAGAGTTCTTCTTTGTAAAAACATTTTCGGAGATTCCAGTTCTTGGATAGCTTGTTAAGCTCCTTTAAACCAATTGTTCTGATTCTGTTACTCCAATGGATGATGGAAAAAGAGATGGCACTCTCTAGGAGGGATTTATAGAAGATATACAGCAAAGTACAGTCTGTTCTGTCCCTTCTTGTAGACAGCTTAACACTTAGTCCAGTCTATTGATGGTACTTCCCCACCAATAGTGTTTGACTTGTTCCTGTTGCTCTTGCAATCACCTTTGTTTTATTCACTTTAAGGACCAGATATTTTTTTTTTCCACACCATGCCACCACTAGCTCCATGCTCACTGCCTTTTATATCAAATAGCTATCACAATTTTATCCTCAGTGTCTCTACACTTTGTAACTTACCATTCAATACTTTTTGGGTTGGTGTCTCTGTTAATTCTGTTGTCGAATAAAAATTAGCAGTTTGGAATTTTTAATTACACAGTGTAGCAGACATTACTGTCAATGTTTAAGAGGATGGAGCCTGCACATTATTACATGTTGAAAGTCCCGTATAGCTTTTAAAAGAGAGCAGTGTATGCCAGAGGCCTGTCTATTTTAAAAATGACTGTTAAAATTCAATAAATTATGCTGGGAAGTTATACCTAGGGCAGTGCTTTTAATAAAATGTTGTTTAGTTTTTAGTTTAACCCCCATAGGAACAAAGAAACCGGGTAGCCAGGAATTATTCTGTCAGCTTGCCTCTGCAAGTATATATGTTGTGCACTTAAACAACATCAAAGTGTTAATAATACAATGCATAATTAGAAATACTAGGGATATAATTGTAAATGTATTTGAAAATATCCGGGGAGTCCAACAAAATGGTATGCATGTTTACTACAAACACTATCCATGAGCAGAATGTATATATTTGAATGTAAGGAGACAAAGTAGTGCAACTTTAAGTAAAGACACAACAAAAGTGATATATAAAGGTCTAGTGTGGCTAAAAACATTTAATAAACTTTAACTTCGACAGCATATTTATCTTTCTACAGTAATAAGGTGCGTAGCTAGGTCAACATCTAACTGAATTACTCGCCATAAAAACGACATTAAGCTTAATGTAAACATCTTACTTTATGAAAATAAGCTTTCACTTTTAGCCAGTAGGGCTAAATAAAGCACGCCTTTAGCCCTAACTTTCTACTTGCTAATCAGAAATGTCCATTGGTGAAAATGGATTCTCCCAACAATCTAAGCATATTTTACCTCATTGTTTAAAAAGAACAGTGAAAAAATAAGTTTTCAAGATAGTTTTATAAGCTATGTGTCCAGACACTGGTGTTAGCAGCTAATATAAAATTTGCATTAAATAAATTAGAATATGCACTCCAGTGACATTCATTTTACAAGTACTTTTACAAAATGCCGGTCTTTTCAGGCTATTAGTTCCATATGCATGTTACGGTGTATATATAAACATACTCTATGCTTTGGGTACCTTTCAAGTAGAGAAATCAGATTCAGGTGTATGCAGTTTCAAAGCAGAGGCAGCTTATCAGTTTTCTGTCAAGCAAGATAGAAAAATCCTTCCTTACATGGTTAGACAGGGAAACGGCATCATAGTTTATTTCCCTGGGCATGCTTGGCTTCTCTGTATGACATTATTACACAGATTATATCATTACAAGATATAATTTAGAATAACGAGAACTGATAGATTATATTTTATAATAATGATAAAAAATGCAGTTCTTTTTTTTCTCCTATTTTCTGAGGCCCCCACTTCTAAAACCCCTGGCTTTAGTTATATCTGTGTGTTAATCATAGGAAACAGGAATAGCAGCCTAAAGCTAAGCTAGTTTTTTTTTTTTTCCTCTCCATTGGATATAAAATGACTGTTTTATGATTTAGCCATTATCCTTTCTTTTCTCTACAGTTATCTGTCTAGTTGGCCTTGGACTGGTGGTGTTCTTCTTCAGTTTCCTGCTCTCCATCTTTAGGTCCAAATACCACGGATACCCTTACAGGTAACTATGGACACGCATTGATATTCAAGGCTGAATAACTGGATATATAAAATCATGGCACTATTTCAATGAATTCAGTAGACTTGTAAATCACTCATGTTTTCACCTATTATCCCTCTCCAACCGGATAGTTAAGTCATCAGCCAATAGATGTTCTCCAGAGGTGGGAAATTTGGAAATATGGGGACAGCCATATTTTGTGGCTTAGTGAGCCAGAATAGCAGCAACTTGGTCTCACTTTTAACTAAAGGTCACAGCCACATAAAAAATGATTTAATGTGTGATACAAGCCTGCAGACTGTGTGGCGAATGCATCACCACTTGAGCAGGATATTACATTGCCGCACCTACAGTTCTCAAATGCTGGAACCAGCTTGCTTTGCTAATGAGGTCGAGTGGATTCCAACGTGGTTCGTGATTAGTTTCGTAGGGGCTCAAACCTTTTTTTTTCTCCTTCTTCTTCTTTGCTCAGGCGAAAGTCCCACAAATAATCTGATTTTTTTTTTTCTTGGGGATGTTTTATTGATGGTTTTGCAAAGAGCTGAAATTATGCTGTAACGCTTTTTGAGAAGAGACATGTCAGATGGTTTTTGTAAAACCACTTTATGAACCATCTGTTAGTTGTTAAGGTGGAATCAGTGTATCGGTTGCTCTGTCGATGGATTCTCCCTCCTTAACCGTTTCTCAGCAACTCCTTCAGTTATCGTGGGCTTTCTTGGCAGCTTCAGTGACTAATGCTCTCCTCCTCCTGAGTCACAAGTCGTCTGCATCGTCTGACAGGTTTTCCTCTTGTACGGCCTAAAATTAAAGTCCATTCATCTTCCCAAATGTTTTATCCTCTTCTTAGCCCTCTCTGTAAAAAGTATGCCGCTTACTCCATCAAATTCTCCTTTTGTTATATAAATAAAATTAGGAAGCTTTATATGGATATGAATACTTCATCTTTGATTATATACCATCTATTCATTTTCTAAAGATTTTCTAAAAGCTTTAAAACTTTGGAATTGTCAAACGTCATGCTTTTCTTACTTGGTTTCACAACTAGACCAGCAAAGAAAAAAAAATGCCATTTGTGAGACTAGAGGGGATATAGTGGATATGAAGTATGTGAGCCTTTTTGCCATTCTCCAGTCCCCAGATTAGATGCTGCACTTTACTGCTGCTTATATTAAGTTGTCCCATTTTGAATGGTTATTTATGTTTGATTGCAACTTCCTCTGTATGATTGAAGCCCATGCTCTGAATTTTGAATGGCACATAGCCTTGAAATATTCAGTAGCAAGTCAGCTACTTCTGATTTCCCTTAATAAATGCAGGTATATTCAGACGTTTGAGCAAATTTTTCTGATTACTTGCCTCCACAAACAATTTAGGACAAAAAGAAGTGTTTTAATATTGTTTGTTTTTTTCTCATTTTAACACCGCTTTTTAACTATTCCATTTTTTTTCAGCTTTCTTATCAAGTAAAATGCAGACTGAAGAGGAGGTCAAATTGTGAAGAAGAGGAATTTGAGGGGTGAAGAAAACATCTGGAAAAAGAAAAAAGGAGCTGTGGCTGAGGAGTGGGATTTCTCTTTATGTGTTGCTTCTTATTTGCTGTTGTCATGGAATCTTTTAAGTATGGTGTTTGTTTTTTTCTCAAACGGTGAAAATAAAGGTGTTTGGCATGTCTCTATTTTTCATGTTTTCTCTGTGAATAAACTTTCCTCTGGAGTTGAGTCAAAGATAAGGGCTGTTTTCCATTTTAAATTAAATAAAGCGTTTTTCTAACAACAGTTTATAATTTCAATCAAATACTTTGAGGTTTTTCAGCAGGGAAATTAATGAAGTTGTTGGAGTATCTGCAAAGTTAAACGTGTTTTATATACTTTTCATAATATATTGTTTCTACTGTATATCTTTTACGCATCTTTAATTATACATTCTAATCTTCAAATTAGATTATTTTAATACTGCCTCTGAAAAATGTAATTCAATCAAAGCCTGCAGAGATTTGCAAATAACACCATAAAAAGACAAAATAAAAAAAAAATGGTGTATTTTAAATCTGATTTAGACTGATACTAGTTTCAAATTTTCTGGGAACTACAGTAAATGTATCTGCTGAACCAGAGTAAATGATTGGTGTTCCTGTAACCTCACCCAATGTTCATACAAGTCTTTACGTACCTATTATGGTTGACATTTTTAATTCTTGAAGTTTAAGAGTAGAAATTATAATTTGCATAATACAAAATAAAAATAAATTTAGTTGTGTCTAGGTTTTACTTCTCGGACAGCAATCCTTGTCTGCATATATATATATATATATATATATATATATATATATATATATATATACTCTCCATATGTCAACGCTGAATCAAACATGCTAAAATAGCTCAGCAGAGTTTACCCCAGACTACACTTGGTGTTAACATTTCCTTCAGAGGCATAGGTCACTTACAGAATACATGCATTTCTAATTCTCGTGAACTGCCCTCTGAAACACTGAGTGGGCTGAGCAACGCAGGCGTTTATGTAAGCTGCTCTGAGTGGGCAGACGAAGGAATGGGACTATTGAACAAGAAGTTTGACGGATGGAATAAAAATATTCCTTTGCTTTCTTTTCTATTCTAAATTGTTGGGAGAGGGAACAATTGGCTGTGTGTGTGTTTGTTCCAGATTATCTGCAAAAAAAGACAGAACTAATCCACTATGACTGGTTTGCAAAATCGTTTTGCAGGAGTGATGGCAAAGTTCCAGCAATACCTTCCGTCTTTGTTTATACCAAAAAAAGGTTCCTTATTTAGAGAAGAAAAAAAAAAAACTGGTTACTTTGTCTTTTTCACATTCAGTTACAGTCCTGGTCAGAAGTCTATATGCAGCCTTCACTGCCATGAATGCAATATTCATTTTGGGGTTTAGAATAAATATTAGAGACAATCATACACATCCACACATTTCTGCATAAGTGTCACTCAACAAACTGCAGGGAAAGGTATAACTACCATCAGCAAGCTTCTGGCTTATTTTAACATTTACGTAGGAGGAAAAGGCAGAGTTTTATTTAAAATGCCTCAATCTTAGTAGAGGCCTGAGATCCAAGCATAGATTATACATGTTCAATAAAGGTCTGGGTCTTTCAGTGTTCTCTTAGAACAGTTGCTCCCAAACTCGCTGTTGATTTTAGCTTTAAGTGGGAGCTTGAAGTTGGTTCTCCATTATTCTAACTTCTCTGTGGAATACACCAATAGAAATACCTCACTTCTGATTTAAATGTAGAGCTTCTAAATGCAAAGAGAAGAAATGGTTTAATTTATTGATAATCGTTAGACTAAAACGGGCTGTTCATCAGCTGATCAAAAGTTTAATTGCACAAATCTTCAAAAAACATGGATGCAGTTTATCTTCCTGAAGGCAAAAAGCTTTCTCTCTTTAAACACAGTTGGATTGTTGAGCTGCAAAGCAACGCATCCGATAGCCGGGTTTTCACAGTTGCTGTCATTGTAAACTTCCTAAATGATCCTAAGGGCTATTATACAAAAAAAATCAAGCGGTAGACCTAAAAAAAAAAAAAAGGATTTACTGACCCTGAGCTGCGGGATCCAATTGGCTGTGCGTCGTCATGTTACAATCCTCAGCCCAAATTAGGCTTGGCTGATCCCATAACTGTCTAAGAGAAAAGGGTTTCAAGAATAAAAATGTCTTCAAAGGCCTCATCTCTTTTAATGCCATGAAATGGTCTTTGTAGAGTTTGCACAAGACTGCCAAACATCAGACATTGAAGCTTGGAAGAAATGTGAAAACTGATGATTTTTTTATCTAGTTGATCTTGATGGCTTCCTACATTGCTAACTAATAAATCCCACCTGATATGTTTTCTGCACAGTGCAGGGGGCGCCTTCATGATCTTTTTTTATGTTTTGTTTTTTTCCGTCAATAGAACAGTTGACTTTCAGGTTGTGCAGAGGCATCAAACTGTGGCTGGTGGTGTGGACGTTGCAGAAGTCATCCCTTATGGCTGAAGGCCATTTTCTGTGTGGCAATGATTGCAGTTCATTGTACTGGTCAGAAAAAGGGAGAGAAGCATCAGCTGTGCTGCTGCCATCAACACCTTTGTTTATAGATGTTGGAGACCGGCCTGTTTTTCAGTGTAGTCCTGTTTCTCTGACTGTGACTAACTGGATGTGCTCTCTTTCATCCTCTGACATGAGAGCTGGCTTGGAGTTCGTCTGCCTGGCTGTGTGTTTCCTGGACCGGGCCACCTGTGGTGGTGGTTGAAAATTGCGTTTTTCTGTCCACTTTTGTCTCCTTGAACCCCAGTCGGCCTCGACAGATGGCCGCTCACACTGCGTCTTGTTCTGCTGGATTTCTTCCTGTTAAAGTGAGTTTTCCTCTCCACTGTCGCTACAAGCATGTTTAGTGTGAGGGATTGCTGAAGAGTCATTGAGTGGATGCAATGAGCTGGTTTTCCTTAGAAGACTGGTTGAATTGTCTCTGTAAAGTGCCTTGAGAGGACATGTGTTGTGAATTGGTGCTATATAAATAAACTTAACTGAATTGAACTGAGGACATTTGGGTTCGGATCACGAGAAGTATACAGAAATGCACTCTACAGTAGTTCAGGCAGTGGATGCCCTCAGTGAAGCCTCTGTCGTTGTTTGAAGCAAAATTCCTTGCCTGGAAAACACCAGTATAAGGCATGCTGATTTTCTTTTTCAGATGAAAAACCATAATGATACTACTCAGAGTTTTTTTGTTTTGTTTTGATATTAAAGTTTAAAGTGTTTTGATTTTAAAGTCTATTCACTGAGATACAGGGAGCCAGTGTAAGGACTACAGAACTGGGCTGATGTGCTCTAGTTTTTTTAGTTCTAGTGAGAACACTGGCAGCAACATTTTGGATCAGCTGCAGCTGTCTGAAGGACTTTTTTGTTAATCATTTCTACTAAAGATAAATGCATGAATGAGTTTTTCTAGATCCTTCTTGGACATAAGTCCTTTAATCCTGGAGATTTTCTTCAGGTGATAAAAGGTTGACTTAGTAACTTTTGTTAACATTTATGCCAACTTCTGGCTTTTACCCTTACCCCTTTTAAGAAAACCTGACATCTTCAAAAAGAAAAGAAATGCATTGATGTATTCTACCAATTTCACATTTATTTGATTTTTCAAGGTATACATATGTGGTTGTGTCTTGAATTTTCAATCTTTGTTGAAAATTTTCAGGTAACTCCTCGTCAGCCAAATATACAGTGATGTTTTAATTCAACTTTAGCACGAGGCTTCATTGACTCAAGAAACCATCATCATTCATATGAGGCTTCAGTCCTTGATGTGTGAAAACTAATTTATATCTTTGCTGCGTCTTCGAGGTGCTCTGAACATCCTCTTCTACTCTGCTGCAGTAATCACAAAGGTGATGAGAAAAGACACTTCAGGATACTTATTGCAGGAGCAATCATAATTCACTAAAATATTACCTTGTTTCTCATCCACAACCCTCCCAACCAGCCCCATCCCATAGATAATCCAGAATCTCCTCACAAACATAATCACAGAGATTCATGGGGGTTACAGTTGCATTACCTGAGGGGCAGACAGCCACACAGTCTCTTATGGGAATGAAAATAAGAAGCACCCATTAAATAAGTTTACTGATTTTAGTGAGTGATGCTCTGGCATCATAAGCTGGAAAATCACAATTTCAAAACAAAATATTTTGCTAATCTCATCACCTCTTATGTTTACATCAAACACATTTCAGGGAGAAAAAATAATCATGTTAATCAAACACAAATCTTCCAGACAGAAAACAATTCTTAAAATCCAAGGCTGTGTTACATGAAAGCAAAGCAGATACATACCGCTGTTTAAAAAAAAAAAAAAAAAAACATTCAAAAAATCAGTTGTCTGATCAGTCATTCCCATATGGCGTTGGGCCTGTTTATCACATTCTGTAGAAGAGTTCAAGGACCAGTTTGAATTGATAAAATATTTCAAAGGGTTGAAATGTCTTATGTAGAAAGAAATATAAATGGTTATAAAGAAAAATTCAAACACTGCAGACTTTTCTTCCTGTCATGATCTGTTTAACAAATCTGACCCACATGCAGAGAAACCACTCAGAGAGTATGGAAAAAGTTTAACAGGTTTCTTGAAGGAGTAAAATAGGAGTTGGGTCTGGAACTCAGTGAGCTGGTAACTCTGAACTGGAAGTGAAAAGGGAAGTTCATTGGTCAGTTCAGGTACCGTGGGAATCTTGGAAGCTCTTAGATTTTGCAAGGATGTGACTTGCCTTTGAGGGGAGCCTTGTTGCTCCTTAAATCCTGACTGTGTGGTAAATCCAGAGAATTGTGCACAAGTTGGAGGGCGGACAGGTTGACAAGCATTGGACCCGGAGGAGTAATGGAGCGGACTGTCACTCGGATTTCCGATGGGTACTTGAATGGAACATGTAGAGGTTTTCCCCTGCTCAGTGTAACTTGGTTTTTCCTTCCAGGGGAGAGAAGGTCCAGGAATCCAGTAACACAGGAAATATTCCTGCCATGGATCAAAGACAAAAACTCATTAGACTCAGCTAAACTTAGCTTGGCTAGAGTACCCAAAACTGGCAAACACTCTGGCGTCGAGGTAGTGACAGCCCACTGCTCAAATACTCCTCCAGAGAATGATCCACTGAGCCGCAGGTGTGCAGGGACGTACAGGGCGCCTCCTGGTGGTGGAAAAAGGACAGACAAACAGGCCACACAACTGGATTCCTAACACTTTCCATATAGGGTGTAATGGAACTTGTTTAACTTAATGTTATTCAATGTTTAGTTCATTTACTGAGGCCACCTAGTGGCAAATGTTATAATTGTGTGTATTGCTAGTTCACAAACGCCATCTTGTGGTCACTTTTATTACTACAACTTGTTTACCAGAAAGGAAGAAAGCCTGTTCATCCATTTGCTCTGAAAGAAGCAGTTTTTGTTATGTTTTCTTTAATCTAAGTGCAAAACGGCATCGTCTGTAAGTACTGTTCTAATTTGCCTGTCATATTAATCATAATTCATAACCTGTTGACATGTTTTATGTGAAGATAGACATTTTTACTTGTATTAGCCCAATGTTAGCTTAGCTGGCATTCATTTTCTGTATCTTTGTGTGTTACAGTTTTACACGATTCTCATTAAACCCTGCTAAAGAACCTAATGCAGTGCTTCTTGGTGGACGAATGGGAAAGTGTTTAGCTACCTGTATAGCTGAGTTACTGCTGAAGGCCACAGTGCTTAGCGAGGCCAGGACAGTAAAAAGACGTCCCATGCAGAAGAGACAAAGAAAAAGACAACGTCTGAGCCATGGACAACAAAGGTAATGAACAGAAGGCAAGTGATGTGCTATCAAATAAGGACATGGATATAGATACAGTGTACCACGTCCGTTCTGTAGCCTCACGGTCATCTACATGCTCCTCTGTCAGTTTGGCTGCAGCTAAAGCAAGAGCTAAGGCTGAAGCAGCTAAAGCTAAACTGGAGTTTCATGAAAAAGAGACACATATTCAGATTGAGAAGGCAAAACTTGAAGCATCACTGCGTGCACTCACTCTCCAAAGGGAACTTACAGCTGCTAATGCTGAAGCAAAAGTATTTGAGGCAGTAGCAGCAGACATAGAGGAAGGAAAATACAGCGAGACATCTGAGCGCAGTCCTGTAGCCAAACAAACACTGAAAAGGACAGAAGACTATGTAAAAGAGCAGTCATCTTACTTCAGTCAGTACAACTACAAGGATCAGGGGGCTCACTCACACCCACCTAACACTATACCCAATGCTGTTAACATGCAACAATATACAGTACCTGTGCCTGCTGCTGTAACCACGCAACAATATGCAGCCTCAGATGAATTTAAGTCTCTTCCCATTCATCAGCCAGACATGACAGGAGGACACATTAAACAATCCCCCAACTTCAACTCTTACCACAGAGGTGACTCAATGCACAATGTTAATGTGAAAACTGATGTTCCTACCTTTAACGTAAATTCAGGAAATCCCACATTTGATCTGGCAAGGTTTTTAGCACGCAGCCAAGTCATAACATCTGGTCTGGTCAAATTTGATGATACTGCAGAACATTATCAAGCATGGCGAGCTTCATTCATCAGTGCTATAGAACCACTAGGGCTGACACCTAGTGAAGAAGTTGATCTGATGGTGAAGTGGCTTGGCAAGGAGTCAAGTGAGCATGCGGCCAGAATAAGAGCAGTTAATATTAACCAGCCTATGGATGGACTAAAATCAATATGGGCAAGACTGGACAAAATATATGGCTCACCAGAGGCGATTGAAAATGCTCTTTTCTCAAGACTTGAAGCTTTTCCCAAAATCCATTCTAGAGATAATCGCAAACTTCAAGAGCTAGCAGATCTTCTACAAGAGCTCCAAATTGCAAAGCAAAGTGACAAGTTGTGTGGTTTAACCTATTTGGACACGGCTAGAGGTGTCCAGCCAATTGTAGAGAAGCTCCCCTACCCTCTACAGGAACGCTGGATGTCACAAGGTTCTAGATTTAAAAGAGAATACAACGTGTCTTTTCCACCATTCTCCTTCTTCAAAGAATTTGTGTGCTCAGAAGCTGAAGTAAGGAATGATCCAAGTTTTAAGACTCTCTCACTCACGTGTGCTCCTCAGAGAAAGGAAAAATGTGCACCAGTCAGATACCCAGTTGCTGTCAATAAAACAAATGTCACACAAGATCATATAAGCACTCCTGTCAAATTAACAGAGAAAATCCCTGTTAACCCAGAAAAACAATGCCCTATCCATAATAAACCACACCCATTGAGTAAGTGCAGAGGATTTGTGAAAATGACTCTTGATGAACGCAAAAAACTTCTCAAAGAACACATGATCTGCTATCGCTGCTGTGCTTCTACAAGTCATATGGCAAAAAACTGTCAAGCTCCAATCAAATGTTTGGAATGTGCAAGTGACAAACATGTTAGTGCCATGCATTTCAGTGGAACAAGCGCTGTTCAGTCCTTAAGTCAGCCCCCACCGTGTGCAGAGGACGGCGGGGAGGAAGAGACGAGACAGGAAATAAGCTCGAACTGCACTAAAGTCTGTGGTATAGGACAAAGTAATAAATCATGTTCCAAGATTATTCTGGTTAACGTGTATCCCTCAGGTCAGCAGCATAGGAGTATGAGGATGTATGCAGTTCTGGATGACCAGAGTAATCTCTCCCTGGCCAGAAGTGAGTTTTTTGACAAGTTTGACATACACGGCACTGAGGCTCCTTACAGCATCACAACGTGTATGGGCGCAACACAAGCATATGGAAGAAGAGCCCATGGTTATGTCATAGAGTCTCTAGACAAAGAAACATGTCTGCAGCTTCCCACATTGATTGAATGTGACAATCTCCCTAACAACAGGAAAGAAATCCCGACACCGGAAGTGGCCCATCACCACGACCACCTAAACAAAATAGCCTCAGAAATCCCTCCTCTCGACCCCAATGCTGAGATTCTCCTGCTGATAGGAAGAGACCTGTTGAGAGTGCACAAAGTACGAAAACAGATAAACGGACTGAATAATGAACCATTTGCACAGAAACTAGATCTCGGCTGGGTGGTAGTCGGTGATGTCTGTGTCAATGGAATGCATGGGCCTCCAACAGTGAGCAGCATGAAGACATACATATCTGACAGTGGCAGACCTTCTACATTTTCAGAATGTGAGAACAAAATCAAAGTAAGAGACTTGTACACAGAAACATCAGACACACTTTCAGTGTTTTCAAGAACAATTCATGATCACCAGTTAGCTCCCTCTATTGAAGACAAACGCTTCTTGAAAATAATGGAAAAAGGCTTTCTCCAAGATGATTCAAATAGCTGGGTTGCCCCTCTCCCATTCCGGCACCCTCGTCGCAAGCTACCTAATAACAGAGAATATGCGGAGAAACGTTTTGCCTCTCTGGAACGCAATCTTCAGAAAAAACCTGAAATGAAAAGGCACTTTTTTGAGTTTATGCAAAGGCTGTTTAACAATCATCACGCTGAGCTTGCCCCACCACTTGAAAAAGAAAAGGAAAGGTGGTACTTACCCATTTTTGGAGTTTATCATCCTCAAAAGCCCAACCAAATACGTGTCGTATTTGATTCATCTGCACAGTTTGACGGCGTCTCACTGAATGATGTTTTGCTGCAGGGTCCAGACCTAAATAACAGTCTACTTGGAGTTCTGATGAGATTCAGAATGGGTCCAATCGGAGTTTTAGCAGATATAGAGCAGATGTTCCACTGCTTTGTTGTTCAAGAAGAGTGCAGAGACATGCTCAGGTTTTTGTGGTACCGCGACAATCAGCCAGGAAACGAAGTGGTTGAGTACCGAATGAGAGTTCACATATTTGGGAACAGTCCATCACCTGCAATTGCCATTTATGGCCTACGGAGGGCAGCAAAGGAAATGGAGCAAGTCTATGGCAGCAAAACAACAGAGTTAGTGGAGAAACATTTTTACATGGATGACGCACTGCTGTCTTTCACATTAGAAGCTGAGGCCATAAAGACAGTAGAGCAGCTTCAAGAAATGTTATCCGTTTCCAACCTGCGACTACACAAGGTAGCATCAAACAGTGTCAAAGTTATCAACCACTTCCCAGCTGAAGACAGAGCCAAGGATATAAAAGATCTGGACCTGTTCACAGATGATCTCCCCATACAGCGCAGCCTGGGGGTTATCTGGAACCTCATGACAGACACTTTTACATTCAAGGTTCCAGAGAACCAGAAACCATTCACCAGGCGCGGTGTGCTGTCTACGGTAAATAGCCTATTCGACCCATTGGGCTTTCTAGCACCTATCACAATCAGAGGAAGAATGATTCTCAGAGACATTACTAAAGAGGATATTACGTGGGATGCTCCTCTGCCTCAAAGTAAATACGAAGAGTGGAGACGCTGGCAAGAGTCCCTCTCAGTTTTGAAAAACCTTCATATTCCAAGAACATACGTCACATTTCCAGTGAGTCAAGCCAAGACAATTGAGCTTTGTGTTTTTTCTGATGCGTCAGTACAGGCTATCTCAGCTGTCGCATATTTGAGAATCACCCATGATGACGGCCATCATGAAGTGGGGTTCATTTTTGGCAAATCAAAACTCGCCCCCCAGCCTGAGCTAACAGTCCCAAGATTAGAGCTTTGTGCAGCTGTCCTAGCTGTAGAAGTTGCGGAAACTATTATGCATGAGGTAGATGTAAAACTGGATGCTGTCAGGTACTTCTCAGATAGCAAGGTAGTTTTAGGCTACATTCACAATGAGAGAAGAAGGTTTTACGTCTTTGTCAGTAACAGAGTGCAGCGCATCAGACAAGTGTCTCAGCCTAATCAGTGGAGATTTGTGCCCACCGAACTCAATCCAGCGGATTGTGGCTCGAGATCAGTCGCAGCAGAAGAGCTTGTCAACACCCTCTGGTTAACTGGACCAAGATTCCTCACAGACATGGACTCGACAAAGATTGATTCAGACGAACAATACTTGCTAATCAATCCAGATGATGACACAGAGGTCAGGGTGAACGCCACCAATGTGGTAACAGAGTCTTCAACTCACAAACGATTTTCAAGTCGCTTTGAACATTTTTCCAACTGGAAATGTCTCTTGAAATCGGTTGCCAGACTCACTCACATCGCTCAAAGCTTCTCAAGCAAAAACAGTGACAGCTGTCGAGGTTGGCATTACTGCAACAACATCTCATCTTCAGAAATGGATAAAGCGGAGCGACTGATCATTCACACAGTGCAACAAGAGTGCTTCTCACAGGAAATCTCTGCAATCAAAAAAGACCAAAGTCTACCAAAGAACAGCTCTATTCTCAGACTCAATCCATTCATCGATAATGAGGGGCTCCTGAGAGTTGGAGGACGTTTGCAGCATTCTATGTTACAAAGAAACGAGGCAAACCCAGTCATAATACCCAACAAACACCACATTGCAACTCTGCTAGTGCGTCATCATCACGACAGAGTGAAACACCAGGGAAGGCATCTAACAGAAGGAGCCATTCGCACCAGTGGACTGTGGTTGGTTGGAGGTAAGCGACTCATAAGCACCATCATTCACAAGTGTGTGTTTTGCAGAAAGCTACGTGGACTGTCAGAACAACAGCTCATGTCTGATCTACCTGAAGAAAGGCTCAAAGCGGACCCACCATTCTCATATGTGGGCCTGGATGTTTTTGGCCCATGGGAGATTGTGACAAAACGCACAAGAGGAGGTCAAGTGAACAACAAGAGGTGGGCAGTGTTGTTCACATGCATGTCTACCAGGGCCATCCACATTGAGGTTGTGGAAACAATGACTGCCTCAAGCTTCATCAATGCTCTCCGGAGATTATTTTCACTCCGTGGACCAGCCAAGCAACTCAGGTCCGACAGAGGGACCAACTTTATTGGCGCCTGTAATGAGCTGAAACTATCACCACAGGATGCCAATAACACAATCAAAGACTATCTGACAGAACAGAGGTGCACCTGGGAGTTCAACCCGCCCCATGCGTCCCACATGGGTGGGACTTGGGAAAGAATGATTGGGGTTTCTCGCCGCATTCTAGATGCTCTACTCCTAGATGTGAAGCGACCTCAGCTCACCCACGAAGTCTTGGTGACCTTCATGGCAGAGGTCACAGCTATTGTTAATGCCAGACCCCTTGTGCCGATTTCGACAGACCCTGAAGCTCCACTGGTCTTAACTCCAGCTATGCTTCTTACTCAGAAAACAGGAGCTCCCCCTACAGTTCCAAACAACCTGACCGAGAAGGACGTCTTCAAGAGCCAATGGAAGAGAGTTCAAATACTAGCCAACAACTTTTGGACAAGATGGCGGAAAGAATATCTCTGCACCCTTCAAGGTCGTCAAAAGTGGCTTGTAAAGAAAACAAATCTCAAGGAAGGAGATGTTGTCCTCCTGAAGGACTCCACTGCAAAGCGCAACGAGTGGCCCATGGGACTTGTTGAGAAGACATACCCCAGCAGGGACGGGCTTGTGCGAAAAGTGGATGTAAAAGTTGCAAGACATCAGGATGTAAAGACATTCAGCCGACCAATCTCGGAACTGATTCTTCTAGTGACGCCTAGTAATGTGGACATTTGATTTAGTGGCATCTCTTAAAGACGCCAGGCGGGGAGTGTAATGGAACTTGTTTAACTTAATGTTATTCAATGTTTAGTTCATTTACTGAGGCCACCTAGTGGCAAATGTTATAATTGTGTGTATTGCTAGTTCACAAACGCCATCTTGTGGTCACTTTTATTACTACAACTTGTTTACCAGAAAGGAAGAAAGCCTGTTCATCCATTTGCTCTGAAAGAAGCAGTTTTTGTTGTGTTTTCTTTAATCTAAGTGCAAAACGGCATCGTCTGTAAGTACTGTTCTAATTTGCCTGTCATATTAATCATAATTCATAACCTGTTGACATGTTTTATGTGAAGATAGACATTTTTACTTGTATTAGCCCAATGTTAGCTTAGCTGGCATTCATTTTCTGTATCTTTGTGTGTTACAGTTTTACACGATTCTCATTAAACCCTGCTAAAGAACCTAATGCAGTGCTTCTTGGTGGACGAATGGGAAAGTGTTTAGCTACCTGTATAGCTGAGTTACTGCTGAAGGCCACAGTGCTTAGCGAGGCCAGGACATAGGGTAATATTTGCCGTCATTTTGTCAGGGTAATATTTGCATATTATTATAACAGATAGATTTATTCTAAACAAAATTGGCTTGTGCTATACATTATTGATACTATATAAACATTAACAAGCACCATTAAAGTCTGATTTTCTTTTACAGCAGCATCTTTGAACTATTTAACATTAGCAGCACATCTCTTCTTTAACCCTTTCAACTCTTGAGGACTGGTGTTTTAAACCACTGCTCTAAGCACTTAAAAGCAAATGTTTTGAAATACATTGGAATAAGCTTAAATTTAGAGAAAACACAGACAATTCAAAAACACCCTAGTTCACTGATTGCAGGGCAGATTGACTGTGGTTCCTCTGGACCCAGGGGTGTTTGACTGAACAGCAGTTTAGTGGCACTGGTACACAACGGGGGGCATCTCTCATCTTCTCCCCTTTAGTCTCTCAAATGACTGAAATCATCACTTTTTCGTGTAAGTAAGATCTAGGAGATTATTTTGCCAGTCTGCAATGCCTGGTGTCAAATTCTCTGGAGCAGTCAGTTGGGTCTGCAGCCTCTGAGACAGAGAGGTCAGAAAGTTCTGCATACACTTTAGGAGAGAAGCTTACATCCCTCTTTCATGAGCCTATTTTCCATTAAAAACCTTGGATTTAAAACCCCAGTATTTGTTTTAACCGGGTAATAGTAATCCCATTTAAAAGCCTGCCCTTTGCATTATTTGGATGGGCTTAAAACTTTTATTTAAATTAGTGTGATAAGAAGACACACGTTTTACTCTCTTTTTTACTCTCTTTTCCACTATTGTCCGTCTGTCTGTAATTAATTAGAGGGTTCAATTAATGTCATTTTAATTTTTTTTCTATTCAACAACCATTTTGCTGCTAATTCATTGAATGCATAAACCGTTTTTTGTTTTTTTTTGTTTTAATCAATTATTTAGATAATTTAACCATCAGATGTCAGAAGGCTCAGAGCATACTGTAGGACCCAGAATTAAGGTGACACAGACAATGATATATTCAAAAGAGAGCTTATTACTGTAACGTGCGGCTGCTCGTCTGCTGCGGCGGGCTCACTGGAAACTCTGTAGGAGTTGAGGCTCAGGTCAGTGACTTCAAAACTCAAACAATGGATAATAATGAGCATGAAAGCCACCAAACTGGCAAAGTTTAGTCTGTGCCCAGAAGGGGTGTCGTCCAGAGGAGCAGAACTCCGTTGCTTGAGCCTAGAAGCAGTATCCTTCAGCAGCTAGAGCACGCATGGGAACTGAAAGATCCACAAGGATAATCCAAGCCGTCGTCAGAAGACAGGTCCAAGGTCGGCAGCAGGTGGAATCCAGGTAACAGCCCAGAAACAGAGAACAGACCTAACAGGAGCGGTCAAAAACTCAGGAATTTGTGGGCAGAAACAGATCAGAACAGGCAGAACTAAACACAGGGAATGCTAGAGTTGGTCTCACTAAGAAGCTTGAATAATCTAGCACCAATGGCTGGGGTCCAGAGGCTCAAACAGCAGTAGGAACCAGTGTATCTGATGAGAGATACAGTAATAAGCTGTAATAAGGGCGGAGCAAGGCAGAGGAGAGCAAGGAGGCAAAAACTCAGCCTAAAGGTGCCAAGATCATTATACAGATTGGTTGAAAGTTATGATCATGTAGCTTTTTTTGTCCAACTTTTATGAAAGACATCTATAGAACAATCAATTAACATTCATCATAATTCCTGGCACTGATTGTTGCTCTAAAACAAAAGCTAAAGTTTCCTTTCTCATACTAACAACATAACAGTGGATGATTTGCTATTCAACATGCAACATTTAAGGCATGTTAAACATATAAACCAGTAAGGCTACATTTTCTCATTCAGCCTGCTAGTAAGACAAACAATTCATGTTGCAACCAATTTGACCAGGGAGCTGGGTTTTTTTTAGAGTACTACATTGGCTCTTACCTTGTCAGATAAATGGGCTATGTCCAAACGACACTAGACCGAGGTCACTAGACAAGCAGATATATCCCAGATTGCTTTGCAAGATCTCTCCTCACTAAGCATCATGGATTTGTTGTGGCCGTGAAGAATAACAAAGATGTGGCACTGTGCGAAGAGGTAGAGTTACGTTGAACGAAAGCAGTGATCATCTGTCCGAACGGTCAATTATCTGAGTTCACTATAAAGTCCCCGCTCTATATATGGATTGAGGGCTTTAGGGGTTAGGACAGATGTTCAGACACAGCCTCGATGTACCTCACCTAAATGTTACGTCTATAAATAACACATGGGAAGCTTTATCTGCTCTCCTGAGATCTTCTCACTGTGCAGTCCAGTGACGGGTGTGACAGTCATCCAGGAATTCACAGAGCCATAATTACAGCGTAATTATTGGATGACTATTTTGTAGAATTTCCAAAACCATAATTTGGGTTGAATGACATTTAAAAAAATTTCTTATTTGGTCTTCTTAATAATAGATGAGTATATATACTGGAATAGACTTTCCAAAGTCCTTTAGAAGCTGACAGACAATCCACAAAACACCTCTGGCATGCTTTGTGTTGCTGTGTAATATATATTTAAATAAATATTTTCTCCCAGAGCTGGTAAACTTCATATGATGTTTTTGGTTTTTTAACATGAAAGTGGCCTTGAAGCATATTCTGCAATTTTTCAACAGGGTTAAGGTCAGCCTCATTTGTACTTAAAAAAACAGTGTTATTTTGAGTTTTATGGTGTCACCAACATGCTCGACATTTTGTAAATTGGTCCTTTCTTTGAAAGCTTCATATTGGCTCTTTTATGCTGTAATTCTCATCTCTGTGGGTGAAACATTTTAACAGAAGACATTCAGATTTTCATTGATGGCATGCAAAATGTGGTTAGCCAACCTAATGCAAAAACTTTGACATTTTGACAGTTTGAGCCTCACTTTTTCTGTTCTTTTTTTTTTTATTTTATTTATTATGTTATTTATTATTATTCATTTAGCCTCTGAGGTTATCACAAACAACCTCCCCAACCTGAACTGCATTCTATCTATTGGCTGTTGTCAAGAGGAAAATGAGACACCAGACCCAACAAGTCAGATGACCTCAAGGCAGTGGTTAAAACAACCTGGGCTTCCATTACAGCTAAACAGCACCACAGCCTGATCAAATCCATGCAACAGTTCAGTGATGCAGTAATTCTTGCAAGAGGAGAACCACCCAAGTACAGAGAAAAGGCATTTTTTAGAAGCTGACATTTGTCATTATAATGTCTGACTGGTCTAATGTGATATTCTAATATACCAAGAAATTGAGTTTTGGAATTCATTTACCTGTAAGACATATTTATCAAAATTAGGACATAAAAGCTTGAAATATTTCAGTCTGCGCGGAATGAATCTTTATAGAATAACTGGTTTGTTTGCTGACATGACTGACATAAAATAGTATACTTTCACACAAAATGCCTGCAAATTCTCAGTCTCCCAGATTATGGCAACTGCAAAACAGAATTACTCTGAGGCAACTCAACTTTTGTTTTCTGAAAAGTTGGACCCCTCCCCTATGCAGAAGTTTTTGTCAGTTCTGGCAGCTTGCACCAGAGCAACCTGTAGTTGGAGAGCTGACGTTTTTAAGCCCATGGATAGCCCAGGTTATTTGTTTGGCCATTTGAATCATTGTTGTTCCTGTCTTTCACACAATATTCAAATACTGTGGTGGTGGCGGTGCTGGGAGGGTGAATGAAAAAAGATTGAAGATGGAAAATGGCATAAAGTCTTTTATTCAAGCATTGCTTCGAAATCTCTCGTTCTGCTAACCAAAGCTCAAGTTTAAAGCAATCGCTGTCAAAGGTTTCTTCGTGTATTTCTGTATAGAATGTTTTTTACAGTAAATATAAATTCTGTTCCTCCATTCAGTGCATTTATGCTCATCCCGTTAGTGTCGACACCCAGCTTTAAGAGATAGCAGTCACTCTCCTTAAAGAGTCAGAAACTTTCTCCAACTTGGAGCTTAAGAGCACTTTTTAGTCTCTCTAGCAAGAAGTACAGCATGTTACCATGGAAACCACTTCCTACATTTTCCAATGACTTTCACCCACAGTAATAGTCAAGTATGCACAGGTGATCCACTACACTTTAAATTGGAATGTTTGCTGTAAATTCATGATAAAAACAGGCAAACAACCTGAGAAAATAACTCTTCTTATTTTGCAAGGGGGTAGTTTTCTTTGAATCCACAATTAAAAGTATGATAAGGGTTTTAAAGTCAGCAGTAAGGATTATAAACACATTAGTTGAAATGATATAATTACTAATATACTTGTTTCAGCAGAATCCAAACTTGAACAAGAAAGAGGGAAAATAAAAAAAAACTGTTTCCAGGAAAAAAGAATTTCTCAATATGTGTACTTGTGCCTGTGAAACGTCATCAGCCTCAGCCCTAGTACTGTTCCATTTCACAAGAACAGCAGACCAAGAATGTACAAAGTCCCCGGATGTTGTTATCTAGGGACTAATAATAACAGGAGGTAAAATGCAGTTCCAGATGAGCCAAGCATGTGGTGACGTCACGAGTACGATTCTGTTCCAACTGAACCATATTTATGCTGCATGCTGCCGTTCTCCCCAAGTCCATACTTAACTGGGTTCTTGTAAAGAACCTACTTGGCATAGTTCTTGTGAAATGAGAAACAGCCACAGTGTCAAAGTCTCGATCAAATCCAATCCCTATGCTAGTTCAGGGTTTATTGAGCTTCTGTCAGGATCTTGGTGCTGATGACTGGTTTGATTACTTATTCTATTCACCTGTCTAACTCCCCCCAGTTCTCCACCTGCTTCAGTCTCTATTAACCAGCCTTCAACCAGTCATCAGTGCCAGAT